GTTTCAGTGAAGTTGCTGACAAAAGAGCCATATAGATAATGGCAGTTCATGCGGTGGACAAGAGGCCTAGAGGTTAAGATACTGCGTAGGACGATCTCATGCACCATCGCAGTAGTGTGGGTACAGTTCGCGTGCTGTGTCTGCATGAGCCCAGGTGTCCTGGTAATGCTGTGCCTGTGCATAAGTGGTGATGTGTACATGTAATGGGGTTCCGTGTGTATATGTAATTGAGTGTGTGTGTGTGTTCATGGTGCCCGTGGGTGTGCGTGTGCATGTGTGTACATGCAGTGGTGTGTGTGTACATGTGGTGGTGTGTGTACATGTGATGGTGTGTGTGCATGTGTGTACATATGATGGTGTGTGTGTACATGTGATGGTGTGTGTGTACATGTGATGGGGTGTGTGTGTACATGTGATGGGGTGTGTGTGTGTGTACATGTGATGGGGTGTGTGTGTACATGTGATGGGGTGTGTGTGTGTGTGTGTGTGTGTGTACATGTGATGGTGTGTGAGCGGATGTTGCGTTTCATGGAACACAAGTACAGCATTGGCAGTAGGTATTTATTGTAGGTTTTGATTTCTGACATTTTCGTTTCCCAATTTAATTAGTACATTGCAGGATTCGACAATTGACACTTGAAACAATGTTTACTGAATGGTATTGGATGATTATAATCATGTTAATCATAAAAATTAGCAACACTCTTGTGTGAAAGGCAGTCAGATAAGTATATTGGCAACAGATTTAGGCTCTTTTATTTATTTTTTAAGGAAACTACCTGAATTATTTTATTAAAAGTTTATTGAATTGTTTTATTCCCAAAGAGGGACTAGACTGTGCTATTCTTCATAATTTCTTATCTAATTTATCCAGGAGCAACTAAAACCCTAAAGCAGAGATTGGTGCAATATTTAATTCTTTAATTTCTTTAATTTGCCACTTTTTCTATTTGAAAATCCAATGCAAAGAAAACCACTTAAAAACTTCATTATTGTGACGTAAGCCATTATGAATTTATTGCTGAGTTCCCTGACTTTCTAATTTCAGATTCCGTCGAGTGCCCAGTGGTAGATGAATCGGAGCGGATAAACTGCATCCCTGACCAAACACCGACAAAGGTTTGAGTTATGGATCTTGTTTTGCTTTTAAGATTTATTTATGTATTTTAAAGGCAGAGTAACAGAGAGAGGGAGAGACAGAAAACTCCCCAAATGGCCAGAATAGCCAGGGCTGGGCCAGGCCAAGGCCAGAACCGGGAAATCTATCCTGGTCTCTCACACGGGTGGCAGAGATGCTCGGTGTTGCCTCTGTTGCCTCCCAGATGTGTTAGTAGGAAGCTGGATTGGACGCAGAGCAGCCAGACTCAAACTAGGGACTCAGATATCAGACGTGGGTAACTCAAGTGGCGGCGTAACCTCCTGCACTGCGATGCCCAGTATGGATATTGTTTTCATTTAAGAGTCCATGCCGTTTTTTACCTGTTTGTAACTCTCAGAGAATTGTTTGTTTTTTAGTCATTAATGTTTAAGCAAATTAATATTATCTCCCTGCTTGTTATGACAATGTAGCTCAGGAGAGGAAGAGCTAAAAATTCCCTTGGGTTCCAGATCCAGCAAATAAATTCACAGATTTCTCAGTCAAATTTATATTTCAGATAAATAATGAGTAAGAGTTTAGTGTAAGTATGTCCCATGTGAGATTTGGGACTTACGAACAGTGTATTTGTCCTTTATCTGGCAACACAACTTGATCCCTAGCTCTTATAGACTATGCCCCGTGTCTACTGTTGCCTTCTGTCTCACATTCTCATTCCAAAATTCTAGAAGGTTGTCTAAGATCTACCATAAAAATTCATACACGTCGATAAAATATGACTTAAAATAAGGACACAGTTTCAAGAGTCGTGTTTTTTGTTGGAAGAAGATTAAAATATCAGAGTAACGATAGTGCAGGCACTGGGGCGTTTACTTAAGTCCAGAAACAGAGAGAGGTCTTGGTCCTCTGCTGCAGTGCCGCTAATTATCACGATTGCACAGGGCTCTGCACAGACCATCTCAGTCTCCTGGTACCTTGAGAAGGGTGACGGGATCTGAATAGAAACAGCATGCAGTCTCTGAGGGAAACCCACTGACGCAGAACGGCAGATCTGCGTCAGAAGTGGAACGGACACTTGCTGCATGCCATGCTTGGACGTGTCACCGCCACACCTACTGCTGTAGCCATGTTATTCTCAGTGGGCTCCCATAATTCATCATTTCCAGACAATTGCTTTTTTTTTTTGTTTTCCTAAAAGTCTTTTATACCAAAAGATATTTTTCCTTTCCTATTAGATGATAAATCTGCCCTAGTGGGTTACTTTTCTTGGGGACGTGGGATAAGATGAAGGCAGGTGTGAGTATGGAAGACAGATACATCAGAGTCATAATCTTGGTTATCTCTTTAGGCAAAGGTCAATGAATGAAGATAGGAAAATGAATGAGGAATGAAGTCTCAGTCCAAAAGCCCAATACTCTGAAATATCCAGGCGCTTGGTGTCTTGCAGCCCAAATTCTGATAATCAATATAATTTCCCATTTTCACGAGCCTTTTATTATTGGGGAGGTTATGTAGGTAGGAATGTGCCTGGATGTATTGATAAAACAGCCAGGAGCCCCAGGCGACTGTAATAGTGTAAGGGAAGAAAATAGGAGGAGTTGAAGTCATGATGGAAAAGGAAGAGTTTAGACTCAGAGAGAGGAGGCTGTCTTTGATGTGCCCCTGACAGCTAGGAACATGAAGTGATCCATGTAATGGACAAAAAGTAAGAGGAGTAAGGACTTGGAAACAAAGGTGAAAGAACATAGAATAGGTAAAAGAGAAAGTGAATTTCCTGCATGGTGCCAAAATCAAAGATAAATAGGATTTTAACAGATGGAAGGAATGGACCATGACTTCAAGAGAGAAGAGATAATATACACAGAATTACAGAAGAGTAAATCATGGGGCACATACAGAACATATTGAAAGATCCCATATGGCCGACATACAGGGTAGGTACAATGAGAAGAGAAGACAACGTCTGAGATTAGAGGTAGGTAGAGGACTGTCAACATGCTGCTTTGTCAATAGGAATAGGAAGCTGTGGTCTAGATGCGTTGTACCTAAACAGGACGTTAGTGCACTAGGTATACAGAGTCCATGCCTGCCCATTTCCTTGCTCGTATCATTCAGTGCCAGGGAACTAGTTAGCTGGAAACCCACCAGAAGACTAATGTATTCTGAATATGTATATTCTTCTACAACACCCATCCTGTAATTGGGCATTGGCAAACTTAAGATGTTATTACTGCCACAGTAATGTATCTTTGGTGTTTTATCATAAGGAATTTTAATAAATACCTGTAATTAAGTTTTTAAATTTAATTTTATTTATTTGAAAGGCAAAGTGACAGAAAGAGAGAGAAGCAGAGCGAGAAAGTGAATTTTCATCAATTAGTTCACTCCCCAAATGGCTGCAATGCTGGGACTGAGCCAGGCCAAAGCCAATAGCCTGGGACCGCATCTGGATCTCCCATGCAGGTGGCAGAGGCCTGAGCACCTGGGCCGTCTCCCACTGCTTCCCCAGGCGCATTATCATGGCGGTGGATCAGAAGCAGAGCTGCTGGGACTCTAACCAGTACGCATGTGGATGCTGGTGTCTCAAGTGGCAGCTGAGCGTGTTGTACCACGAGACTGGACCCTGTGATCAAGACTGTGGTGCCATTAATGACCTTTGGCTTCTTCTACATGTTGTGCCCAAGTGACTTGCTCTATGACCTTGACATGCTCCTCTTTCTGTAAAATTTTAACACGTAAATTCGTACATGTTTATGGGGTGCCATATGCTGTTTCAATACAACTTTTAATTGTGTGCTTCCCAAATCAGGGTAAGCATATCTGTCTCCTCAAACATTTAACATTTGTTTTGATGGAAACACTCAAAATCCTTCTAGTTTTTTTCCTTTAGATAAATAGATAGTACAAAATCACTATTTATAATAACCCAACTGAGCAGAATACCAGAGCTTCTTATTCGTACCTATAACTAATCAGCCCTTCTCTCTCTAAACCCCTCCCTCCTCCCTGCTCCCCCAGCCTCTGGTAACTGTCATTATGCCCTAAGTTCTATGAGATCAGCTTTTTAGATTCTACATATGGGTGAGACCACGTTGTCCTGGTATTTCTGTGCTTGGCTTACTTCTTTTATCATAGTGGCCTCCTGCTCCCTCCCTGTTATTGTAAAGAACCAGGTCTCTTCCTCTCAATGGTTGAACAGGATTCCAATTCCACTGAGTGTGTGTGTGCTTCTCCTGTGCACTCTGCACTCTCAGAGATTAATACTGGTACCATCCATGACGTGGTTCCTCCCAGAAGGCATGTCTGTTCACTCTGATGCCTGCTTATGTATCCTGGAAACTAGATGCAGATCCAGCTGTTGTTGCGAGGATGAGTCAGTGGATGAGGATATACGAGGGTACTTCAACAAGTTCATGGAAAGTAGAGTTAAAGATAAGTTTATTCTGGTGCAAAAATGTTTTGAAATCCATGCATAGTGTTTTTATCATGTGCATTCCACACACACTTATTAAAGTCCCCTTGTATTCGTGTGGCAGGAGGAGGATGAGAAGAAATTATGAACACCATAGAAGAGCTAGGCAGGATGTTCTGATAATGAGGTCATTACTGTATCGTCTTCTCTTACTCTCTACACACTCTCTGATTATGTGTAAAAGAACTAACAGTATCTGGTTCTTTGCAGATGATTTTTGGTTGTAGATCCTATTGTTTATTATAATTTGAAACATTCATTTTAAAGCATAGAGCAAGAGCAAGGCTGAGAGAGAGAGAGAGAGGGAGAGAGAGAGCTATCTATCTGCTGGCTCACGCCTAAATGCTCTCCACAGCTGGATCTGGGCCAAAACAAAGCCAGGAACTAGGAACTCAGTCCAGGTCCCCGACTGCGTGGCAGGGACACACCTGCTACCTCCTCGGGTGTGCATTAGCAGGAAGTTGGGATCGAGAGCAAAGCCTGGACTCGAGTCCAGACACTCTGCTATGAGACGCCAGTGTATCAACCTGTGGCTTAACCTCTGAGCCGAATGATCATCCCTCCCATTGTTTTTTGATCCCCATAATAAGAGGCAATCCTCTATACAGAACAGAAGAGAGCAACCTGTCAAGCCATCCTGAGTTCTCTATGGAGGATTTGTTTGGAGACAATGGACCTCAGGGGTCCCTTGCCTGGGTCTCAGAACAAAAGATCTCTCAGGCATCTAACTCTAGTCCTGAAGGCAGGCTTTTGTCTGGGGGTTAAGATGTCACTTGAGACATCCTCATCCCGTATCCAAGTGCCTGGTGTCAAGTCCCAGCTCTGCTCCCAATTCCAACTCCCTGAGAATGCACACCCTAGGAGGTAGCAGCTGACAGCCCAGGTACTGGAGTCCCCGCCACCCCGTCAGAGACCTGGACTGAAACTTTGGCTCCTGGCTTTGCCTGACCCAGGTTTGGCTGCTGCAGAATGAATCAATGAATGAGAGCTCTCTGTCTCTTTGCTTCTCAAATAAGTAGTTGAAAAAGAGATCCCTATTTACAATAAATGGATGAATGGATCAGTCAGTGTAGTCCTGGTATTTTGCAGTCACTTCCTGACATTGCTTCTGAATTTGATTCAGATTATGTGTGTGATTAAAACTGCTTTCTTTACCGTCATATGGCCATCCTGTTTCTGCCTAACTCCAGTGCCTGTTGGAGTTCATTCTGAGTGGTGAGTGGCATTCAGACGTCACACTCTGCTATCTAAGGCCCTGTTTAACCCTGCGCCTCTAAGGTGTCACTTAGGTTGTACTCCCAGGAAGATTTTAGAGACAACTCTCTTCTACATGACAGCCTATCCTTTCTGCCGCCCTAATGAAGACATTTATCCCCAGGTCCCGAACTCAGAAAGTTCTCATTGATGGCAAAGGGCAGAAATAGGTAGTCAAATGTCAGATAGCCAGCTCAGGAAAGAGATCGTGGGGAATCATTTCAAACACTTTGATTTTCTGGGGCTAGTATGTACTGCAAGAACATGGAAGAGCAGGTTTACATACTTAAAATAAACTCACATGCCTTGTCACCACTGCAATATGATTAAGCTGAGAGCAGTCTAAAACTATGAGTTTTCCAAGGATTATATTAATATAAATGGTAATTTTAATGTTGATATTGAGGTAATTATATATATCATTCCTTGTTATCTTTTATGGCATGCATACTGCCTAATCATCTATCATTTATTTCACATACGATGTCTTTCCAAATTCCAGTTTCTTATCAATGTATTTAAGGAATCAAGTTTTGTGATAGGTCAGCAAGAAAAGTGCATTTTGCTAAGATCATCTTGAGTCTCCACCCTTCAGTTAAGAGCCATTATGTGGTGCCAGGAGCTGTAAAGTCCTTGATGCAGACTTTAGTTTATGTTCATGCCTTAAATTGCCAGAGCAGTCATTGGGCAAGGTCATGGAAGGGACAGGGTTCTAGGTTCTGCCTTGGCTCCTGAAACACTCCATGTGACTTTGTCACTAAGTCACTTTCCATACATACCATGAAATTCTTATCAGAGAAATGAGGCAAGGTGCACGTAGATACATTTATTCATTAGACAGATGATGATGGAACACACTACTAAACTACGTGGCTAGAAAGATGTTAGAACAGTGACCACTGAGGGAAAAGCTTTTGGAAACTGTTGCAGTCTGATTTGGGGTACTAGGAAGTACAGATCCTGGCATGGAGAGGTGGCATCCTTGTTTAAAAGTTTTTGTCAGGCCTCACCTTGGGAAGGAATGAAGGGGCCAGGTCAGCTTTCAAAATGTGACCCAAGATACACATAGAACAGTCTGTAACGAAGATATTTACCGAGGTGGATTAATTTTCTTCACTCATTTATTCAAATTTGCAGCACATTGACATAGCCAGGAGACATTTTGGTGAACACAGAGTGATTTGAAATTTTAAAGTATTATATGTTTTCATATTGTACAATTCCCACTTCCATTTGAAACCATGAAAAGATCCTTCATTCTCTGCATTGTCCTTGCATGGAGACTTTCTGGTTCTATCTTGTGTTCACAGCAGATCCTCCTGACATTAAAAAGTCTTAATTACCTATCAGAACAGAGGCCAAAAGAGATACAGAATATGAAGGTGATTGAAAATGAAACTCGATGAAGGGCGGGATGGGAGAGGGAGTGGGAGAGGGGAGGGCTGCGGGAGGGAGGGAGGTTGGTGGGGGAGCCACAACAATACAAAAGTTGTACTTTGTAAATTCACATTTATTAAATAAAAAAACATCAGGAGGAAAAAGCCATTGTAATTCATAAACTGTACTTTGGAAATTTATATTTATTAAATAAAAGTTAAAAAAAAGAGATACAGAAATTGAGTCCTTTAAAAATGTACTTGTATTTGCAATCTTGTTTATTTGAGGTCATGTGTAAGGCTTGTGGGATTACCTTCAGGTCTCTGCAAAGGGATTCTGAGCAGGGGTGAGTGACTGAGAGCCCTGCTCATGCACATTGGCTCCGCACTCACTCCATGGTGGACCAGCACGCCGGTGGTCTTAGTCCATTTGTGTTGCTATAGAAAATACCGGAGACTCAGCAGTCTCTGCTCCTCCACTTCCCATCCAGCTCTCTGCTGTGGCCTGGGAAGGCAGGGGAGGATGGCCCAAGCGCTTGGGCCCCTGCACCCACGCAGGAGACCTGGAAGAAACTCCAGGCTCCTGGCTTCAGATTGGCCCAGTTCTAGCCATTGTGGCCATTTGGGTAGTGAACCAGTGGATAGAAGACTCTCTCTGTCTCTCTCTCTCTCTCTCTGCCCCCTCCCACCCTCTGTAACTATGACTTTCAAATAAATAAAATAAATCTTAAAAATTTTGTTAATATAAACAGAATAGATTTCATGTGTTTCATAGACACAATTCTAAGAAGATAACCATACATTTTACCTAGACAATATTATGTCTGGCAGTAAAAATGATTAACTTCATTTTTTTCATTCTTACTGGTTTTCTTTCTTTTCTTGTCTTTTGTTTTGTTGAAACCTCCAGTATACTTTTAAATCATTAGCTGTTAGGCATGGGTTAGTCGTCTTTCTAATAAAAAAAATGCTGCTAACCTGTCACTATTTAGTAAGATGCTTAATTATTGGCTTTTTGTGGATATCCATTTTCACACTCAGGAAGTTACTTTTTATTCCTCATTTGCCAACAATTTTGTCATGAATATCTGAGACTTTAAATAATTATATGATGCACTTTCACTAGTAAGTTATTTTGATAGGTTACACAAGTGAATTTTCTATTTTTTTAAAAAGATTTATTTATTTATTTGAAAGTCAGAGTTACACAGAGAGAGAAAGAGGCAGAGAGAGAGGTATCTTCCATCCAATGGTTCACTTCCCAGAAGGCTGCAATGGCCGGATCTGTGCCAATCCAAAGCTAGGAGCCAGGAGTTTCTTTCTGGTCTTCCATATGGGTGCAGGGGTCCAAGGACTTGGGCATCCTCCACTGCCTTCTCAGGTAAGAGCAGAGTGCTGGATCAGAAGTGGAGCAGCCGGGACTTGAACTGGCGCACATATGGGATGCTGACACTGCAGATGGTGGCTTTACCCACTACGCCACAGGAGCAACCCCTGAATTTTCTAATATTAAAGGACTCTTGTATTTCTAGAAGCAACACTACTTAGTCATTTATGTAATGTGTTGCTGATTTCCGTTGCTGATGTTGCTTGTGCTTTTTTCTTTAGTTTCTGTATTTAGGTTCATGTGTAAGACTCAACTCTAGTTCTCCTTTTCCTTCGTGTGTGTTTTTGGTGTAAAATACCTTCTTTGCTTCTGCTCTTCTCTCTTTTTCAAGTGTTAAGAGATTTTGGGAGTTGGAGGCGGCTAGGAGATGAATGCAGTAAAGTGCGACTGGAGCTTAAACAGTGGTTTCTCTCCATTCCTGAGCCTTCTTCCATCCTTGTGTTAGTGTTGGTGCTGCAGCCCATACCCAGTGGTCTCTGTGTATCCATGGGAGGTGTTCCAGAACCTTTCAATGATACAAAAATCTGAAGATTTGGTAAAAATGGCATGGTATTTGCTTACCACCTTTTAATCCTCCTGTGTACCTTAAATCATCTTTAGATTACGTATAATACCTAATACCCTGTAAAAGCTAAACAGTAGTTGTCATACTGTATTGTTTCAGGAAAAAATATGAGCATGTTGAGTACAGATCCAGTATATTTCTGAGTATTTTCTGTGTGCTGTTGCTTGAATCTACAAAGGCAGACCCCATGAATGGTTTCCACTATATCTTCATTAAGTAAAAAGCAAAGTATCTTTATATCCTCTTCTACTTCACTGACAATTACTGAGGGATCTCTAGAAATATCCCATTATATGCTATCCTCCTTTATTTTGTGATTTTTAAAGATTTCTATATGTATTTTAAATCTTTATTATTAGGTATGTAACCAATTTGAGCTGTGATGTCACCATGGTGGCTTGAAATTTTGATCATCAGATCGTAACAGTTTTTTTCAGTGCTTTTGTGAGCTGAAGTTTTGGTTGTATGATTTATAAGAAGCTTTTAATTGGGTTTATTTTTCAATGTAATTTATATGTGTCTTTTAAGTGTTTCAACAGTGTGATAATTGCTGTGACTTTGTTTTTCCTAATATTTTGTCTTTTTCCTTTAATTTGTTCCATTTTTTTCTAATGTACTACTTCTGGCCCCATTCTTTGCCTGCTTCTAAAACTACTTTTTCCCCTCAAGACAATTTGATTTTATTTTAAAACCAGAATGACAGAGACAAGGATAGAGGAGAGAAATCTTCAGTCTACCAGTTCACTTCCCAAATGGCCACAGTGGCCAGGGATGGGCCAGGCTGAAACCAGAGACCAGGAACCGCATCATATCTCCCACGTAGGTGACAGAGCCCAAGCAATGGGGTTACTGTCTGCTGCCTTTCCAGGTGCGTTAACAGGGAGCTGGACTGGAAGCAGAGCAGCTAAGACATGCATTGGCACTCCGATGTGGTTTGCTGAAGCCACACTTGGTGGCTTAACTCACAGCACCAAAATGTCGGTTGAGGATTGCTCCTCTTCACCTCTGCCCTCAATGCGGTAGTTACACCTGCTGTGTTATTTTGGCAGTATCTGTTAGATTTTAATTCTCATATTCAGCCCTAGCAGTGTTTTGCCCTGGCTCTAATTCTTCTGTGCACCGTCATCCTCCTGACGGCACCATCCTTCCTGGCCTCCCTCCACCACTGTTTTCCAGGCATCCGGTGCTTCACTCCCATCCGGCACATCCTGCTCTGCTTCTCCTCCTACAGTTCACAGTCGCTGGGCTCCATGGCAGGCGGGGTGGGCGTTTTCCAGTTGGCCAACTTTCCTTCCTGCTTTGGCCACTTGATCTTTGCCCTTTCCAGTTAAATAAAAACCTTATTAAGCCCTGGAGAGTGTACAGAGGTCCTTCGGCTTGACACCCTTTTCAACACCCTTCTCTTCTGTCACACTCAAGTTCCATATGGACAGATTTTGAAGAAAAGAATGAACTCGTCCCTGCTGGCTACAGCTGAGTGCTAGGCCTCTCGTGGATCCTGCAGTGACGTTAACCATTACAGATCTTGCTTTCCACCTTTGATTCGGTTTGAGCATCCCTAATTTATAAATCTGGAATCCAAAATGCTCAAAAAACCTGGAACATTTTGAGTGCTGCATGTTGGGATCAGTGGGAAATTCTACACCATGAAGCTTTATTTCAGGCACAGCACTCTTATAAAATCATGATATAATGTAAAATTGCCTTCAGGCTATGTATATAAGATTTATCATAAATCAATGCATTTCATGTTTACATCATTTCACAAAACAGAAACCCAGTCTGTGTTGGCTATCTGCAAAAGGCAGCATTTGATTGAGTCTGATTATACAGCTAAGCAAAAAACAATTTTTGGCTCTCCTCTTCCAGGCATTGCCATGTCCTCTTGATAGATTCAACCAGAGTAGAGAGGAAAGGAAGTAGGCAGTGAGGGAGCCACATTCTGGTTTTGCTGTCCAAGGGCTAGGGAACCTTTGGCAGGTCACTTCACCTCGGTTTATTTTTGTCTCTGTGGGCCTCAGGTTCTGCCTGTAAAAGTGATTTGGCAGAATATCTTCATGATCTATGCTGTGTAAGAAAACACCCAGCACATAATGACTTAACATCGCGAACAGTACAGTTCCCAGCTTCTCCAGTTGCAATCGGTCTTGGCTTAGCTGGATGCCCGTCACGGAAGGTGGCAAACACAGAGTCCAAGGAACGGTGGGATGACTCTCTTTTCAGGATCACTCGTGATTATTGGCAGGATTCATTCCACCAGATGTCACTGTACTCAGAAGGTCAGATTTTTTCTGAGCCTCGGAACTCACTTAGTTCCCTGCCACGTGGACTGTTCCACGGTCGCACACCTTGCTTCCCCTAGAGAAAGGAGTGCAGCAGAGGAGCAGCAGGGTGGAAGCCACAGTCTCTCTGTGATCCAGTCTTGGAAGCGCCATGCCATCATTTGCTGTAGTTTCTGTTGGTTAGAAGTCACTAGGTTCGGCCACACTCAGTGGGAGAGATTTCGTTGTCCTGGCTGCTTCTCCTAAGTTGGTCGACGTGAGAAAGACGTTAGAGCCATTGTCGTCCCCGCTTGATTCTCATTAATTGTGGTCTAAAGCACCTTTCTTAAATAAGCTTTGGAGTCTATCTGGGAGTCAAGGAATGAGGACTTGCTGTGGGAGGAGTTAGGAGGTTGTGTACATATATATGTCACATGTTACATGTGTGTAATATGCACACATATGTAATACATATATTTAAAAGCTAAAGTAAAGTTGGTTTGATTTGAAAGCTTCTGAATAAAGTTGATTGAAAGGTTTTTTTGTTTGTTCTAAAAGCCAAAACCAATGTGAATGAATGTGCATTTGCATTTTTGTATTACTGGCTATGTAATCATATTATAGTTTAGAATATTTAAATATATTTATTACTTTTATTGTTATAAAAATATGGGGTACATTGTGCTTCCTATTCTGTTATAGAGGAAAGACACAGGCCAGAAATATTGGCTGTGAGTAGACACCCTGTCACTGTTCGAGATACAGCATGATTTCTCTAATAATTGAACATTTCCTTATTTGTAACCACAACCTCATTAGATGCTTTATGTTTTATAAATGACAGTATTATGTAACTTAATGGGTGACATTGACTGACTTCTTGTTTCAGGCCACTTGTGAGCAGCGTGGCTGCTGCTGGAATCCTCAGGGAGCTATAACTGTGCCTTGGTGCTACTATTCCAAGAATCACGGCTACCAAGTGCAGAGTGATCTTGTAAACACAAATGCAGGTAAGCCAGAGTCTGCCAGGAGGCGGGAGGTCTGGGTCCTCTGGAGCTCTGGCCGTGTGCGCGGTCCTGCTCTGCAGGGCCACTCCACCATGTGTGACAGAGACGGGCATTGCTCTGAACCAATCTATTTTAGCACCAAAAGAAACTCAGTCTGTGCCTTGGGAGCTTGGAGACGATGTTCTGTTTCCAGCTTTGCCTTTGTGTACCTTTGTACATCTGTAATCACCATGACATTTTTGGTCCTCATGTCTATCACTTTTGGAGTAGGGGATTTGGACTCTGTAACTGCTGACTCTGATTTGAGGGAGTAGAACCAATTCCAATTTTACCCAAATTCTACAAAAGTCACCTAGACAGCGTCAGTGTTTATGAACTTAACATGCCCTCTTCTTACTTTGGGGAGGCTCTTGGTGTAGACAAAGAGGCATGTTCCCCATTCCAGCTGCTCTTGGCTTATGGGGTTCTTGGAATAAGGTCACACTCCTACCTATTTACCATTTACTTAGGGAAGTGACATCAACACCATCAACGTGCATGTCGCCTATAATGTCATCTAGAAATGACTGAGAAGGAATACAGCAGATGTGCACATTGGGGCTGAGCGTGTAAAGAGTATCTGGTTAACACAAAATGGCTGATGGACTGGCGGATTGAGCTAGATCTTTGAGGGAGGATTTGGGGTAGCTGTTATAGAAGAGCAACACAGTGCTAGCTTCAGATTCTGGCTCCAGAACATGTGTGTGGGAGATTGGACACACATCATCTCTTCCCTTCTTTTGGGAAATAAAAAGTATTTCATCAACTCCTATGATATAAAATTTAATTTTATGTGGCTTTAAGTTAAAAAGTGGCTAATTTCTTCTCTACATATTAGGATTCACAGCCCAGTTGAAAAGTCTGTCTTCTTCATCTCCCTTCGGAAATGATGTTGAAAACGTCCTTCTCACGGCAGAATACCAGACATCTAACCGTTTCCACTTTAAGGTTGTAGTTTGTTTGTTTTTAAAAGATTTGTTTTATTTATTTGATTGACACAGTGACAGAGGCAGAGGCTTAGACAGGGAGAGAGATATTCCGTACATTGATTCATTCCCTAAAGGCCATGATAGTTGGGGCAGGGCCAGGCCAAGGCCAGGAGCCAGGAACTCTATCCAGGTCTCCCACTTGGGTGCAGGGGTCCGAGTACTTGAGCCATCTTCCACTTCTTTACTGAGTGCATTAGCAGGGAGCTGGATTGGAAGCAGAGCAACTGGGATTAGGACACATGCTTTAACATGGGATCTGGCACCACAGGCCACAGCTTAATCCACTGTTCCACAATGCTGGCCTGAGTATTTTTAAAAAGTTTATTTATTTATTTTTATGTGTTTGAGTGGGATAGAGGCAGAGAGAGAGAGAGAGAGAGAGAGAAGAGAGAGAAAACTTCCATCTCTGGTTCACTCCCCAAATGCCCATAACACCCAGCAGGTCTGGGCGAGGCTGAAACTCATCTGGTTCTCCCAGTGGATGGCAACCACTTGAGACATGGTCTGCTGTCTCCCAGCATTTCATTAGCAGGAAGTTGAATTAAAAGTACAGTAGCTGGGACTTGAGTCAGGTACTCAACATAGGCTGGGGTCTTCCAAATGGCAGCTTAACCCTCTGTACCACAATATCTATCCCTACAGTTTATTTTTCAAGAACTTTTTTGAGAGGAATTATCACAGTTCTGAATTTTCTAGAGATAATCCACCTTGATAAACTTGTTGTATTTCTCTTTACCTAAAAAGTAACTTATATTCATAGTTGCTAAACATGTGAATTTGGTGCCATAATGGCAGTTAATTATTCTGTGGTTTCCAGCACAGCAGGCATAGATATGGGGAAGCACTGGTGTTGGGAAGGACAATTCTGTTTTTGACTATAGCAAAGGTTTTGTTTTGACTTTCTCTCTCCTATTCTCTCTGCAGTTAACTGACCCAACCAAGACCAGGTATGAAGTACCCCACGAGCACGTGCAGCCCTTCCATGGAAGTGCTGCCTCCTCCTTGAACTACCAAGTTGAGGTCTCCAAAGAGCCGTTTAGCATCAAAGTGACCAGAAGAAGCAACGATCGTCTTCTGTAAGTTTCGGACACCTCTTTGGGGGTCACAGTAGGAAGACTATGGATAAGGGGTTCTGAGAGCCTGAGGAACGGTGCCTTTCAGCAGTGTTCCTCAGTTATGCCCTGTGTCGGTGACCAGACTCCGCCTCCACGTGTGTGTTGTTCTGTGCCCTCCTTTCTCTTCCTTCCTTCTGTTTGGCCATTTTTACTCTTTATTTCTCTCTTCCTTTTCTCCACTGATGTAACCACTTGCCTACTAGTGAATATTCACTGAACATCTCCTGTCACATAAGTAGTGTGCTCAGGGCAGGTGGCAGGGCCTCTGGGGGGCAAACGTAAGAAACGTCCGGTTGCCCCTCTTCCAGGCCAGCTCTCTGCTGTGGCCCGGGAGTGCAGTGGAGGATGGCCCAAGTGCTTGGGCCCTGCACCCCATGGGAGACCAGGAGAAGCACCCGGCTCCTGCCATTGGATCAGAGCGGTGCGCTGGCCGCAGCGTGCCGGCCGCGGCGGCCATTGGAGGGTGAACCAACGGCAAAGGAAGACCTTTCTCTCTGTCTCTCTCTCACTGTCCACTCTGCCTGTCAAAAAAAAAAAAAAAAACAAAAACAAAAACAAAAACAACCAAACCAAAAACGTGTCACATGGTATCTACCCTTGAGGAGTCTTAAACTCTTGGTGTCTATGGAGCAATATCACAGGAGGTAAATGGGGACGCTGAGTCACTGAGTCTTAAAGAACACTTTTCTAAGCAGTTATGATCTGCATATCCCAACTGCCCACCTGCCCCCGTGTTTCCACCTGTTAGGTTTGATTCGAGCATTGGGCCGCTCCTGTTTGCTGATCAGTTCCTGCAGTTCTCCATCCGCCTGCCCAGCGCCAACGTGTATGGTCTGGGGGAACATGTGCACCAACAGTACCGGCATGATATGAATTGGAAGACCTGGCCTATTTTTACCAGGGACACAACCCCCAGTGAGGTAAGATTTTAGGATGGGCCCCTTTCTACTGAGTTTTTGAAGGGTATTTCTAGTCATACAACCCAGTAGTTAAGGTAAAGTTCTAGAGTGACACTTTCTGCATTTAAATTCTGTCCCTACTATTTCCCAGTTGTGTGTTCTGGGCAAGTTAATTCCTTATCTATGAAATGAGGATAATCCTTATAGGGTTCTGTTGAGGAATAAATGAACTGATGCCTGCAAACTCTCCAAAAGATTGCCTTCTACATAGAAAGCACTCAGTAAATGCCAACTACTTTAAACTCTGTTTTCCCTATGAAATAAACATATTATTATTATCTATACTTTGAACAACAGTGGATTATGATTTCCAGATTTTTAGGCTGATCTTTGAAAAATCACTGATTTGTCAGCAACATAGAATGAAGTCCCAGCCATAGCCATGTATGAGTCATTGTTTGCACAATGAATGATTGGGTGGTCAAAGTTTCATTTTTGCTATTACTGTTTTATTTTGCCTTTGTGTGTTTTGACTGCTAAAACTCGAAGCAGTGCTGATTCCCAGCTTAGAAGTACTCTGTCATTCGGGGACTTCCTGATTAAGAACTAATGCCTGGATATAAGATCATAGCAATAATTTATTATGCAACTATTTTTATGTATTATGTTTATTTCACAAACCAACTCAGAAAAAAACATAATTTTCCCATTTAATAGGTGAAACTGAGGCTCAGGGAAGCCAACTTAGCCCAAGTAAAATAATTTGTAAATGGCAGGGAAAGGACCCACTCTTTACGTGCTCTGACATAAAGTACGTGCTTTCTGCCATACATCTGCCTGCCAGAGAAGCCGAGAAGGTGCTGGGTCAGAGCTACTTATCTAGGAGTGGCTGGTGGTCATTATTCATTTGAGCAACTGCAGATGCTGGCAAACCATGTAAATCTTTGCACCCACATGTAAGAGATGAACGCTCATTTAATTAAGATCTTCATGTAATTCATAAATACATCAACTTTTGAAAACATTGTTCTAGACTGGTGGAGTTATTTTGGGAAATTAAAAAAAAAAACACAATAGCAATGTCCGTTTCCACCCCCAGGAATTTTGTTCCCATGGATCTGGGGTGCAGTCTGTGTTGAGAACTCCCTTGCTGTGGAGTCTTAGCCTTCAGCTCCTTATGGTTGCTTCATTCATGTTAAATCTTTGTGCTTTCGCAAATGATGTTGAGTTAAGAACTGGCATCTTTGAGAGGGGTACCTCTTTGAATTATGGTTTGAAAATCCCCACCCTTCCACCTTGTCACATATAATACAACCTCCACTCCTACTCAATGAATGGTCACAGCTGGCTCATTTATATGAAAACACTGGATCATGTGGTTAATTAACATCAGCCAAATACAGGTCCCACGTTCTAAAATGTATTCATATCTTCATGGACTTTGAATTTCTTGGCAGTTACTCACAGGTTAAAGATGGATTTCCTAAGCCAATCCAACCATATGGTGGTTAGACTACTTGGTGGTAAATTTTTTCTTCTTAATTATCTTCCTTTAGGATGGAACTAACCTGTATGGTGCTCAGACATTCTTCCTGTGCCTGGAAGATGCAAGTGGATTGTCCTTTGGGGTATTTCTGATGAACAGCAACGCCATGGGTAAAAGACCAATGAACATTCGTAAACAGCAGTGACCTGAGTTCAGTCCCTGTCCCTTTATGAATGACTGAGACGCAGGTTAAGGCTTACATGTTCCCTTGCTGCTTCCTTACCTGTGGACCCATGACAGCCGCGAGCCAGGGGGTTGTCTTTGAGCTCAGCATTTTCCTGAATCTCTTGCCCCTGTTAGAGTATTAGCATCATTAGAATTAGAATTTCTTCTTCTATTGCAGAGTTAGTATAATGAGCTCATCCCTGCAATCTGTTCAGACAATATCTCCCATTTCCCTCCCCCCCTTCTTCTTAGCCTTTCATTCAGTAGACCCTAGCAGTGAATCACCACAGACAGAGGAGATGGATCAGAACCTCCTAGGTTGATGGTGGGTGTAGGGTACTGACCTCTGCCGTTTTCACCGTTGAGCACCACTGCATTAGCAGACAAGTGCTACTCGAAGTGTGGTCTGTGGCTGGTTCACAAACCGCTTCAGGGCCACAGTAAGCATGGAAACTGAGAGTAAACCGTGCTGGCAGCATCTAAGCACGTATATAAAACTTCGCCCAGTAACTCATTCCCATGTTATTTTACAAAGTTGTCTCTTTGTAATTAATTGGAAATTAAAAAGAAAAGATCTGATGCTTTACCACAGAGTATTTGTAAAATCTTCCAAGTGATCCAAGATGATTGTAAGATAACCAATAAATGAATCTAAGCCACCTAATTCTAAGAGCCTAAGAGAATCTTAGATGATGCTAAGGCAGTGAGGATATCTGATAGTCCAAGAATAGACTGAGATAAGATAAGGCTGTACAGTCTCAGGTAGATGAAAGGAATCCGAACACAAGCTCAACTGGACTTAATGGGAAAGGCCACACGATCCTACATATTCTGCGCATGTTGTTCCTCTGACGGAAAAGTACGTTTAAGTTGATCTGGACGCAAGCCAAGACTGAAAGGCAGTTTCCGAGAAGGGTCGTTGGAACGTAGAGGGATTCTGAATTTGTGAGGTCATCTCTGACACTTTTTAGTTCAGCTCTTGTTTGGTGTGAAGTTCACTGAGGTTGGTTCCTCCTTGTGCCTGATTGGGTTACAGCCTTAGCAATACTGCTGGAATTGGAGGCAGGAATGACATGGTTGTGACTGGGAAAGGATGGAAACATTTCCTCTGCCCTGTTGTGTTTGGTTCTTGGGAGCCTGCAGATGAAACTGACAAAATGATTAGGAAGAGAAAAGAAAGTTTATTTACATGTACAACACGCATTCGCACTGGAATGCTCAATAATGTGTAACTCCAAGGGGTGGTGAGCACGTCGCTTGTGTACCATTTTAATAGGGAAAGCTTATGGGAAAAAATGACTTTTGGGATAGGTAAATTGTCCCTTAGGAAAGTGCATTGGTGATAAGTGGTCTTGGAACAGTGTCTGGGTATGGTGCACAGTGTCTCAGAGAGGATTTGAGTTGCTCCATAGGGCAGGATTTGTGACAACCGAGTTTTCTTGAGAAGGCCTACTTTCAGGGCAATCAGGGACTTCAGCAACTTAATGCCATTAGCCCCTAATAACTTTTATGCCACAGTGGCTTCTTCCGGGCCCCTTGATGAGTCTGGTTGGCTTTCCTTAGTGTGCTGCCACAAGGAGCTGGGGTGTCCCCATCACCTATTATTAAAAACGTCCGCAGAACACATGCCCTGACTCCCGTTTGTGCTGAGATGCTGATCTTCAGTCTCGCCCTTTGCATGAAAAGTGCGAGGCATTAGGATCACATTATTAGTGTTCAGATAGCCAGTGATTTTCGGTTTAACAGCTTGTAGGTATTACTCCAGAATGAATTCTAATTTCTGTTTCTTTCACTCTTAATCTTTCAAGAGGTTGCCCTCCAGCCTGCCCCAGCAGTCACTTACCGCACCATCGGGGGAATTCTCGACTTCTATGTGTTCTTGGGAGACACACCCGAGCAAGTTGTTCAAGAATATCTAGAGGTAAAGTTAGGGTATCATGGCTGTTACTGAGGAAATCCTAAATAGCATCCATTCTTAAAAACAGGCAAGTATGACCCACAAAAATCACTTCTAAAAATTTGAGACATTAGAGAACAAATGAAACTTGCCTTAAAATATTCAGTGTTATGAAAAGGGGGGAGAATACAAAGACGCACAAACATTGCCCTGTGCTCAGTGGTTTGTAAAGCATATGGAAACAGAGTAGCACGCAGCCGTTCACGAATCAGTGTGTTGGAAAGCGAAATATGTTTTATGCCCCAAGCCAACACATAGAAAAAGTTTTATCAAAGGTAGCGTATTGTCTAATTCTCATTTCACAATTTTCCAGCTCATTGGACGGCCAGCCCTACCTTCATACTGGGCTCTTGGATTTCACCTCAGTCGTTACGAGTATGGAACCCTGGATAACATGAGACAAGTCGTGGAGAGAAACCGTGCCGCACAACTCCCTTATGTAAGTCAGGCGTGAACAATTCCTCTAGGACTAGCCCTCCAACATCGGAGTGCCTGGGTTTGACTCCCAAGTGCAGCTCCTGACCACAGCTCCCAGCCAGTGAAGACCCTGCGATGCCTCAAGCAATTGGATTCCTGCCTCCCACAGAGGAGACCTGGATAGCGTTACCAGCTCTCAGATTTGGCTGTGGCCAAGTCCTAACCTTTGTAGGCATTTGGGGAGTGAACCAGTGATAGGAGCTCGCTGTCTGTCTCTCTCTGTCTTTCTACCCCTCTCTGTTTCTCAAATAAATAAAAATTAAAAGAAAACCTACAGCAACAGCAAATAAACTTCTCCAAAAATAAATTCCCTTGAGGAATAAACAACTATTTTTACTTTATCACTTTGAATTTTTATATTTTGAAATATAATGATTTTATATATTTGGAATTTCAGACATTTTTGTCGAATCAATGTTTCTTTAAGGAACCCTTAGTCTTGATAGTAGGAAATAATATTTAGAGATTATGATTATGGTTTAGGAGGCAATCAGGTTTTTTCCTCTGGCTTTATCATAAAATATTTTTGTAAAACTTACTTGTGCTTACTGTTTTGACTCCATTTTACAAAATGCATTTTTACTTGAATTCTAAAGCTGTTTCTCTAAGTGTGGATTGTAGAATATTAATGCTTCTCAGTGTAGATTTTCTTGGCTAACTCACGATGTCACGGCAGAGACTTACCATTAAAGTGATGTCTTACTTTAAGAAATTCTAAGTTTCAGTTATAAGCTCAATTCTTAGGTTCAGCATCAGATAAAAATTGTGCAGATCCACATCCACTCTTCTACTCCTTGACAAACGATGTTTTCACAAATATTCTAAGAAGAAATTCAGGAAGGGGAGTAATTCTAAATCCTAAGGACTTAGGCAAAAAAAAAAAAAATTGTACTACTGGACACAGTCTGGAGTCATCTGGGTTAGCATCCTTTGCTCACTGATGATATGTGAGGCTAAGTTCCTGGAAATAACTGGACCAAGATTGTATAGCTAGTTGCAGTGTAAATGCTGCATAATTCAATGGATTTAAAAATTCATGTAACAAGTTTTACAATCATCTGTTTTTTTCACTAGTACTTTGATTGCTATTGAATTGGTAATAAATCAACATTTTGGAATTGGGGGAAAGAAAGTTCATAAATAAATGTTTAAAAGAAGCACTTAGGGGTCAAATATATGGCACAGTGGTTAAAATGGTGCTTGGGGCAACTGTACTGTCTATTGGAGTGTCTGGGTTCAAGTCCTACTTCCATTTTTTTTTAAAGATTTTATTTATTTATTTGAGAGGTAGAGTTACAGACAGTGAGAGGGAAAGACAGAGAGTAAGGTCTTCCTTCCAGTGGTTCACCCCCCAGATGGCTGCAACGGCTGGAGGTGCGTGGATCTGAAGCCAGGAGCCAGGTGCTTCTTCCTGGTCTCCCACACCGAGGCAGGGGCCCAAGGACTTCGGCCATCTTCTACTGCCTTCCCATGCCATAGCAGAGAGCTGGATTGGAAGAAGGGCAGCCAGGACTAGAACTGGCATCCATATGGGATGCTGGCGCCGCAGGCAGAGGATGAACCTACTGTGCCACGCGCTGGCCCCTCCGTTTTCGATTCTTGCTTCCTGCTATGAGAACTCTGGGAGGCAGCAGAGATGACTCTGACTCAAGTACTTGGGTCTCTGCTGCTCATGCAAGGGATACAGGTTGAGTTCTCGGTCCCTGGCTTTAGCATTTGGGAAGTGAATCAGCAGATGGAACACTTCTCTTTATTTGGCTTGGTCTCACTGCCTTTCAAATGAGATGAAAATAAATACCCCAAACAGCACTCTGACCTCAGAATCAGCTCTTACGGCATTTGGATCTGGCTGGAAAGCCCAGGAGAGCATTTCAGGCATGGAAAGCCAAGACACTGTGGCAAAAAATGACCTACATGAGGGATCTCTATGAGTGAGACCCTGGTGGAAAGAAGGGGCCTTTCTCTGAAGGGAGGAGAGAACTTCCACTGTGCATATGGCCTTGTCTAAATACCGATGGAGTTCGTGGGCTTAAAAGGCTTCCATAGCCTTGGCAGCTCATGACAAGAGCCTCTGGTGGTCACTGATGTCAAAAATAAGAGTATTAATTGTTACATTAACAACAGGAGTCACTGTGTACTTACTCCCCATGCAGGCCCTCTGTCCTTAATCTGTTGCACTATGCAAATTAATGGTAAAAATAGTCTTCAAACAGTTCTTTATACTTGGTGTGTTTGTGTGGGTACAAACAGTGGAAATCTCTACTTAGTGTAGAGTTGATCTTCTGTATATAAAGTGAATTAAAGATGAATCTTAATGAAAAATGGAATGGGAGAGAGAGTAGGAGATAGGATGGGGGTGAGAGTGGGAGAGTGGGAATGGGGGGAAGAAATACTATATTCCTAAAAGCTGTACATATAAAATTTGTATTCATTAAATAAAAACCTTAAAAAAGAAAATAAATAAAAAATTTAAAATATCATGTTATAGAATTGAGAATTAACAGGAGTAGGAATACTGAGGAAACAGGGGGTGGGGTTGGAGGAGGAGAGCAGAAAATTCTAGTAGGTCAAGATATTTAGGTAGGTGTATCTACTGTCTGTTCTGGCCACATATCCCACTGTTCTTTATTCTCTGGGACTCATCAGGTTTATACAAATGGGGGTAGGGAGTGGATAGCAGGTAAAGTGCAGAGACAGGATTGAGGTAAAAGATAATTGGCACAACCAGAGTAATAGTAGATTCTCATGGCAGGCACTATGCTAGATGCCTGCTTTAGTTATCTATAAATGGCCCCATTTTAATATCAAAACCCATCTAAGATTATAGACCTCATTTAATATTCTAAGTCCTGTTTAATATCAGAAAAGCTGGGGCCGGTGACATGGCTCACTTGGTTAATCTTCAACTTGCAGCACCACATCCCATGTAGGCGCCGGGTTCTAGTCCCGGTTGCTCCTCTTCTCTGCTGTGGCCCGGGAAGGCAGTGGAGGATGGCCCAAGTGCTTGGGCCTGCACCCCGTGGGAGACCAGGAGGAAGCACCTGGCTCCTGGCTTCGGATCAGTGTAGCTGTGGCCGTAGCGGCCATCTGGGGGATGAACCAATGGAAGGAAGACCTTTCTCTCTGTCTCTCTCTCTCACTGTCTAACTGTCAAATAAAAAAAATTAGAAAAGCAGAGTAGCTTGTTTCCATGCTTGCATCTCTAATGTGATGGTGGCTTTCTATTTTCCATGCGGTTCTCCTCACATATGGATAGAATTCCCTTCTTCAGTGATCCAGGGAGTGAAAAAATGAAATATTACCAACACGCAGTGAAGTGGAATGTGAAAGCAAACACTTAGACATGGACTAGAAAACTGTTAACTGAGCTGAGTGTTGTGTCCAAGTTTAAGTAGACAAAAGGATGTGGTACCTGCATGTAATAAAGCATTTGTATGCTTTGAATGGATAAATTTGAATGTGTTTATTATATTGGCTATAGTGGTATTGGAGATTTTGCAAGGAATGCAAGGGGGAGAGCCCCAAAGTCTCTACTATAATCTTCTCTCCTCTCTAACCATTCCCTAGAAGACACAAACTGGCTATTAGAACAACAGCAGATTTCATTCTAGTTCCTAGTATTTTCATACAGACAAAATTAGGACAGAATAAACACCAGAAACTTGGAAGTAGAGAGAAGAAACAGAACAAAATGTGGGGTAGAAAATAAGGGAGATGTGTGGGGGCAGTAGTGCCTTCCCACCTTTTCCTTGTGGATGTGGTAAAAGTCGTGTAGTGTGTGTGTCTTCAATGCCTGGGTGATTTTGTCATCAGTATACAGTTAACCTGATTGCAAGGGTGAGACGATTTGCTTTTGAAATTATTCTTGGAAAATAAGCACTTGGATACCAGGGACCGAGTACTAACCAGGGAAAGCCCAGCACAGAGTCAGCCTTGATCTCAGGAGTCCTGACGATGACTTGATTGACCCCATTTAACGGGGAAATGCCTAGGCACTAAGTTGTGGACTCTGTGTATCTGCAGGACGTTCAGCATGCTGACATTGACTACATGGACGAGAGGAAGGACTTCACCTATGATCCAGTGGACTTCAGCGGCTTTCCCGAGTTTGTTGAGGAGTTACACAGTAATGGGCAGAAATTGGTCATCATTGCGGTAGGTGATGCGATGCCCTCTTCCTTTTCATTATGCCCCCTCCCCTCCTGCATCCCCCGACTCTCAGTCTCCTTCAGTGCCTCCAGTTTACAGATAGTCTCGTCATTGCATTTTCTGCATTTTTAGGACCCAGCCATCTCTAACAACTCTCTCCCAAGTAATCCCTATGGCCCATATGACAGAGGTTCGGCTATGAAGATTTGGGTGAATGATTCAGACGGTGTGACTCCCATCGTTGGAGAGGTAACTTAGTGGGAAAGCCAGTGGGTATGTTGGTGGGGTCTGTTGGAAGTGCTGTGATAGAACATGTGTGTGATTGTTTAGATGTGCATTTTCGGATGCCTATGCAAGAGTACTTCAAAAAATTCACAGAAAAATAGAACTAAAAGATGTTTATTTTTGTTGCAATTTTTTTTTTTTGTAATCCATGCGTAGTGCTTTTATAGTACACATTTATCATCAACTTTTTGAGGAACCCTTATTTGCATGGACTGGTGACTAGTCTCTTCCCACATCACTTCACCGATACTCTCTGGTCAATGGCATAGTCACCTCCTGACCCATAAATCCAATGGAACTGTTCTGTCTCCCTTCGTACTCAATTTCTCTGCAGTATTTGACAAGGGTGATTGCTTCTTTCTCAAACCTTCATCTGTCCTTATTTTCTATGAAGTTATTAACTGCTGGTTCATTTATCATACCTCTGATGTTCCTTTCAGAATATGGTATCTTAGAAAAAGTGTTTAGGAAAGAAATATAGAAAAGTATTTGATATTATAAGTCATATGAGGTATCCATCAATAGATGAGTACATAAAGAAACTGTAGCGTATATATACAATGGAAAACAATTTATCCTCAAGAAATGAGATCCTGTCATTTGTAGCAAAGTGGATAGAACTGGAAGACATATTAAGTGAAATCAGCCAGAAAGACAAATTCTACATGTTCTCCATCATATGTTGAATCAAAAAATTCAGTCTGAACAAGAAGAATAATTGCTGGAAGCTAAGAGGATAGGGGCAATGAAGGAGGTTGGAGAATATGTACCAAATTGTAGTTAGCTAGAAAAAAAAGGTACTAGTGTTACCTAGCATAATGGGGTAACTATCGTTCATGGTAACCTGTTATATACTTTGTGAGCAAACTAAAGAGAATAGCTTCAAGGCTCTAATCATAAAATAATGACAGGGACCGGCTGTGGTGCAGTGGGTTAAAGCCCTGGCCTGAAGCTCCGGCATCCCATATGGGCACCAGTTCTAGTCCTGGCTGCTCGTCTTCCGATCCAGCTCTCTGCTATGGCCTGGGAAAGCAGTACAATATAGCCCAAGTTCTTGGGCCCCTGCACCCACGTGGGAAACCCAGAGGAAGCTCCTGGCTGCTGGCTTTGGATTGGCTCAGCTCTGGCTGTTGCAGCCATCTGGGGAGTGAACCACCGGATGGAAGACCTCTCTCTCTGTCTCTGCCTCTCTCTATAACTCTGTCTTTCAAATAAATAAAATAATCTTTAAAAAAATAAAAAAATAATGACAAAGGAAGGGTAGTATTAATCATTTTGATATAATCAGCACATGTTGATTGTCATTTTGCACCTCATAAATGTTTACAATTATTGATAATAAAAATTTTAAATGTTTTAATAAGTAAATTAATACATTTAATAAGTAAATTAAATACATTAAAAATAATGGACTGTTGAAATTGACACAGTGCTCTCTCTCACTTACCATTCTAGAATTGGGAGTAGAGAAACAAATAGGGAAGAGTGTGTCAGAGATAACGATTAGTAAGGGAGACAGCACTTTAATCCATTGATTCATGCCTTAAGGACCAGATAACTTCTTTAAAACTATGCTTTTCCTTGAGTGAGCATTTATTTAGCATTTGTTCTTAATAGCCTGAGTGAGTCACTTTCCCAACTGAGAAGGACCTGTGCCAGAGCATCTCTGGTGCTGTGACCATGTTAACGGGTTGATTTTTGCCAAGTAATTCGATTTATGCTATCATCACTTGATTTCCTTTTACCATGCTTTTCTTTTTATCCTGCAGGTCTGGCCTGGAACAACTGTGTTTCCTGATTACACTAATCCAACCTGTGCACTTTGGTGGGCAAATGAATTTGAGCTTTTCTACAATCAAGTGAAATTTGATGGAATTTGGATTGTGAGTTTGTAAACCTTTATTAGGTGGTAAATGTTCAGATTGTCTATTATCTATATCTGCATCTGTATCTATATCTATTATCTATCTACATCCATATCTGTATTTCTGTATCTGTGGGCCATAGGGAGAAGAGGAGAGCAAAGCAAGTATGACAGTCATTCTCAGTATTCCCTGTGTTACCGTCCGAGTAATTTCACTAAAACACATAGCTTACAATCAAAGCAGAAGGTTAGAGTGGAAGAAAGCTCAGACATTTTTTCCCCGAGTTTAGCTGTCCTTTTACAAATGAATGAGCTAAAACCAAGGTAGGGCATATACCCTTTACATTATGAGAAAGTTCATGAGTTGTTCAATTGCTAGTTCAAGGCTCTTTCATTTGAACAGGTTGGACAAGGAGATCAGAGCCAGAGAAACCGTGGGGGATGAAAAACAGCGATCCAGCTGACATTCAGCAAATTGTAGGGTGCTCTGGTGTTGGAAGATTTTCTATTTACAAGAGAATGGTAGAAAGTTCAAAAAGTATAGGTATATGAGAAGATGAAAGCAAAAATTTGTGCAAATGATAGCAACTAAAGGCATCCACCATCAATATTTTGATATGCAACCTTCGAGATCTTTCTTTACTTTTTTTTTTAAGATTTATGTATTTATTTGAAAGGCAGAGCTACATAGAGGCAGAGGTAGAGAGAGGTCTTCTATCCATTGGTTCACTTTCCAGATGGCTGCAATGGCCAGAGCCAGGAGCTTCTTCTGGGTCTCCCACGTGGGTGCAGGGGCCCAAGCACTTGGACCATTTTCCACTGCTTTCCCAGGCTATCACAGAGTGCTGGATTGGAACTGGAGCAGCTGGGACTTGAACCGGTGCCCGTATGGGATGCTGGCACTGCAGACAGTGGCTTTACCCACTATGCCACAGCACCAGCTCCCAGATCTTTCTTTTTCATAGCAAGTGGCTCGTGTGTACTTCCTCTCTGTCATCGTATGAATATGTATCTATGTGCGTGTGTATCCATAGTTGTATTTGTATATAGAAAGAATTTATTAGTTGATATATATAACATTTTATAAGTAGAAATTTCTTTCACTTATATTTGGAAATTGTTCATTTTCAGTGATTGACATATACAGTTTCGAGGGAGTAGGGTCTTTAATGAGTAGAAAAAAACAGAAAAATCCATTTCATTCCCTGCATTTAAAAATAATCTAGAATGTTTTCTCTGATCACTCCCACTCAAAAAAGAGACTTGATCAGTACTAGGCAAGAGATGGTCTTACTTTTTAAAGTTGATGCTCTGTGTCTTGTAGGATATGAATGAAGTGGCCAATTTTGTTGATGGTTCGGTTTCAGGATGTTCCACAAGCAACCTAAATTATCCTCCATTCACTCCGAGTAAGTCTTGGTGGTCAGCTTGGTTAAGGTGGCAATGTCTGATAATTTAAATTCATGGGATAGATCTGAGCAATCTGGCAGAGGAGTTTGTACGTGTGTGCACATAGTGAAAGTAAACTGTGGTAATTTAAAAAGAAACTAAGACAGCATCAAATAAAAAACATGCTGGGCAGACCAGGGAGCATATGGCCTAGAAGCCACAGCTGGTGGCTAATCTATGTCACCCACAGGGCAGGGCTTGTCAGAGCCCGGAGAAGCACGCTTGGTCTTCAGGTGAGGGTGAAGTCTACTGATATCCATTGTGTGAAAAACAGACTTGGACCAGGGGATGAGAGGGCGCCCAGACCCGTGGCCTGAGAAGTCAGTGACTGTGTTGTTACTGAACTTTGACTGAACATTGAACGACTTTATCTCTCAGGGTGTGCCTTGAAATCACAGCACTAGCTGTAGTTCAAAGAAAACCAGAAACTCAAAGAGCTTCTAGGATTATAGCGTTTTATGAAGACTACAGGAATAGATCAGGGCAGATAGGTCAGAATCGAATGTTGAGGGCTTTGAGTGCAAGGCAAAGCAGTGTGCCTTTCATTCTTTTGTTGACAGAATCTATATTTTAGGAAAAGGAAGCTATGATAGTCCAGTGGTTTGGAAATACTAATCTGGCATCAGTACACAACTAGTTAGAAGAACTAAATTGGTCATCAAGAGGCTACTGCAAAAGAGTTAGGATCCAAGTGTAATTGGAATCTGAACAGAGCAGGGCAACTGGACCAGAGAGAAGATGAACGAGAGAGAGATTAGGAGTAATTCTATATAACCGACGGTGAAGGGAAAAGTGAGGCAGAGATTAATTTACACTTTTATCCAATATTTCTATTCCTGGGCTAATTGCTTAGTTTGAGGAGTTCAAATTGAGCCTCAATTCCAACGGATCCTCTTCCGTCCACATGCCTTGCTGCCTGTGGTCCCATGAGAGCCCAGGCGGGAGGATGTGTACGGGCCCCATAACTGATGTATATGTCAGAGAATCTGCCCTTTTGCTAGTGGGGAACAGTGCAACTGTCTACAGAATGCTTACAACAGATGCCCGAGGAAGGGAGCGCCCTTTCAGGCAGCGTGACAATCAAGGAGCAGGAAATGTGCACCTGAGGCTCTCCCTGACGATGGATCCCTCTTGTTTCAGGAATCCTGAATGGGTACCTGTTCTCCAAGAGTCTCTGCATGGATGCAGTGCAGCACTGGGGCAAGCAGTATGATGTCCACAGTCTGTATGGCTATTCCATGGCAATCGCCACAGACGAGTAAGACTGCTACTGCTATGCATTTGCATATGGTTCTTGCTCTGCTAGATGCTGGGTGATATGTAGAACGATATATACGCATACATAATTTCTAACTATATGTATCCAACTGTATTCTAAGTATATATATGTCACATTAGAAATTCTACAAGATAAACATGGCTGACATCATTGAAGGAAGAAACTATCTGACACAGACAAGAAGAAATCCAGTAAAAACTTGTGGAGTGTATTAACTTAAGGAATGAAGGAGTGAAAGAATGAAAGGAAGGTTGCAAGAAAAAAGGGGGCAGCTGGGAAACCTGCACCAGGCCCACAGCTGATGAAGGACAAAGGGCAAATATGAGCCCTTTTCTTCAGGAGTCCAAAGCTCATGTGCTTTCCCCTCTGACACACTGTGTAGACTATCATACGAAGGTGAAGTAGCACACAGTTGTCCATGCGCTGTGAGGTTTCAGCACCCATCTGCTGTGCCCTGTTACATTTGTTATGGACTCAAATAGTAGTGAGCAAAAGGTGCTGAGAAGTTCTTCTGCTTGATACGAACAATGATGGCAGGAAATCCGGCCTAAAGCACATTCATTCATTGCCAACGTGGTGGGTCTAACTTTGGCCATTTTGAAAGTTGTTGAAAACTCTGTAACAAAAGTTTTAAAGAATGTGAACAAAAACTTCTAATTTAAAATATAGAGGATATGTATGTCATTATAAAAGTACATATATATAATTTTAAAATGTCTTTTCTTACTGAAAATTATCAAAGTGTTTCTATTTAAATAGAATTTAACTACCAAAAATCTCTTCATAAGACCATTTGTGTGTATGTCTAGAGTCTCACGCTTGATATGAAAGACCGAAGCATAGACATCTATGTAAAGTTAATCTCTACCTTTGTGTTATAAAATATATATCCCTCTAGTTATTAACATTTTCCAGGCTTCTTTTATTTTACAATTCTTTTTAACATTTTGCCACATCCACATTGAATGTAGACATACACATATACAGGTATACTATTTTTCCTTGAAAACAGAGATATTAATATTGCAGAGTGAGGGATTCATGGCAGTGATCATGATGTGGACAGAGAGCATATTGTCAAATACATGGTATGATTCAGTGAAGCATATTTATAACTAAATTCCCAGTGATGTTAATCCACACAATTGTAATACTCTCTATATTAACTTCAACAAACAACAGAGCACATAGGATACTGTATTTCTGGGTTGGACTGATTTCACTTATCACAATGATCAAGGCTGCTTTTGACATTCTTTAAATTATGGGGTTAATCACGCACATAAAAGACCTTAAAATAATAAAAATGTGAACATACTTAATGGTGCAGCCTGCTTCCAACAGCAACTCTAACTCTGCTAGGAGGAAACTGGGAGAAGAGAATGGGGTGTTAATTTTTAATATTTTGCACTGCTTCTGTGTTCCCTGGCTGAGACAAACGATCTTCCATTGTCTCCCTAAACCTCTCTCCCTCTCTAGAGCCATCAAGACGGTGTTCCCTAGTAGGAGAAGCTTTATTTTAACCCGCTCCACGTTTGCGGGGTCTGGCAAGTTTGCAGCCCATTGGTTAGGAGACAACACAGCCACCTGGAATGATCTTCGGTGGTCCATCCCTGGCGTGCTCGAGTTCAACCTTTTTGGAATTCCCATGGTGAGTCCCCATCCCAGTCTCAGTGGGTCTCCGTACCCGGCAATCTCATTCTGGGAATTCTCAGGTCACAAGGTCTCCCCTCCTACCTGCGTGGCCTGGTGATCTAATGTCTCAAGAACATGTGCTTTGTCAATATGCGTATGGCTCTACTACTGTGACATACTTTCTTGTCTAGCCTTCTGAAAATATTAAAGGCTGGCGCCGCGGCTCAATAGGCTAATCCTCCGCCTTGTGGCGCTGGCACACCGGGTTTTAGTCCCAGTCGGGGTGCCGGATTCTGGCCCGGTTGCCCCTCTTCCAGGCCAGCTCTCTGCTGTGGCCCGGGAGTGCAGTGGAGGATGGCCCAAGTGCTTGGGCCCTGCACCCCATGGGAGACCAGGAGAAGCACCTGGTTCCTGGCTTCAGATCAGTGCGGCGGCCATTGGAGGGTGAACCAACGGCAAAGGAAGACCTTTCTCTCTGTCTCTCTCTCTCACTGTCTACTCTGCCTGTCAAAAAAAAAAAAAAAAAAAAAAAAAAAAAAAAAAAAAAGAAAAGAAAAGAAAATATTAAGTACAACCCTGATATTCCCTGAAGTGGGAGGGTACTTCAGGAAGTCCATGGTGAAGTAGAATTAAAAGATAGGCTTCGGGGCTGGCATTGTGGAGCAGTTGGCAACGCTACTGCCTGTGATGCTGGCTTCCCATATGGGTGCTGGTTGGAGCCTGGATGGTCCTCTTCTGAACCAGCTCCCTGCTAATGAGCCTGGGGAAGCAGCAGAAGATGCCACTCGCACGGGAGACCCAGATGGATGCTCCACATTATCATCACTGTCACAAATCCCTCACTCTGCAGTATTTTTTTAACTTTTATTTAGTAAATACAATTTTCCAAAGTACAGTTTATGGATTACAGTGGCTTTTTCCCCCCATAACTTCCCTCCCACACATACCCCTCCCATCTCCTGCTCCCTCTCCCATTCCATTCACATCGAGATTAATTTTCAATTATCTTTATATACAGAAGATCAGTTTTGCATATATTAAGTAAAGATTTCATCAGTTTGCACCCACACAGAACATAAGGTGTAAAATACTGTTTGAGTACTAGTTATAGCATTACTTCACATTGGACAACACATTAAGGACAGATCCCACATGAGAAGTAAGTACACAGTGACTCCTGTTGTTGACTTAACAAATTGACACTCTTGTTTATGGCATCAGTAATCTCCCTAGGCTCTAGTCATGAGTTTCCAAGGCTATGGAAGCCTCTTGAGTTCGCTGACTTCGATCTTATTTAGACAGGGTCATAGTCAAAGTGGAAGTTCTCTCCTCCCTTCAGAGAAAGGTACCTCCTTCTTTGATGGCCTGTTCTTTCTACTGGGATCTCACTCACAGAGACCTTTCATTTATTTTTTTTTTTATTTTTTATTTTTTATTTTTTTGCCAGAGTGTCTTGGCTTTCCATGCCTAAAATACTCTCATGGGCTCTTCAGCCAGATCCAAATGACTTAAGGGCTGATTCTGAGGCCAGAGTGCTGTTTAGGACATCTGCCATTCTTTGAGTCTGCTGTGTATCCCACTTCCCATGTTGGATCGTTCTCTCCCTTGTTTATTCTATCAGTTAGTATTCGCAGACACTAGTCTTGTTTGTGTGATCCCTTTGACTCTTAACCTATCAGTGTGATCAATTGTGAATTGAAATTGATCACTTGGACTAGTGAGATGGCATTGGTACATGCAATCTTGATGGGATTGAATTGGAATTCCCTGGCAAGTTTCTAACTCTACTGTTTGGGGCAAGTCTGATTGAGCATGTCCCAAATTGTACATCTCCTCCCTCTCTTATTCCCACTCTTATATTTAACAGGGATCACTTTTCAGTTAAATTTCAACACCTAAGAATAAATGTGTGTTGATTACAGAGTTCAACCAATAGTATTAAAGTAGAACAAAAAAAAATACTAAAAGAGATAAAGTATTAAGTTGTACATCAACAGTCAGGACCAGGACCGATCAACTCACAATTTCTCATAGTGGAAAACATTTTGCTGAGTGAATTAAGCCAGTCCCAAAGGGACAAATATCATATGTTCTCCCTGATCGGTGACAACTAGCCAACCACTCTGTAATATTAATATCTCTGCTTTCAAAAAAAAAACCTGTTTTTGGCCACTCTGGCCATTTCAGGAATGTCTCCTCTTTCTATGTCACCCTGCCTTTCAACTAAATAAGTGAATCTTTTAAAAAAAAGAATAAATTTATTTTAGTGCAAAAGCTCTTGAAATATACCCATTTGAGTGGTCTTAAGGGAGGGTTGGGGGGAAGTGCCACTAAGTTCCTAAATCTGTATGTATCAAATATGTGAAACTTCTATAATTTAAATAAAATTTTTAAAAAGACAGAAAAAGAAGTAATAGTGCCTTGGAGGTAAAGTGAAACGAAACATAAAAAAAGTTCATGGAAAAATATGCATTATGAAAAAACTATTCATGGACTCTAAATTTTTTTTTTTGTGCCCAAACCAGCTTCTCTTGTAATAACATTTCCCATGGACTTTTTTTTCCCATGAATTTTTTTGAAGTATGCTTGTATTTATCAGGCTCCTACTATGCTCAAGAGACTGAGCTAAATATGCATGGTGGAGATACAGTAACCCATATACCTTCTCTATAGCCAAAGAATTAGCGATTTAATAAAAGCAGTCATACATGTAAACAAATAGTTACGAGAAACTGGGGTAAAAAGGCCAGTAGGTGCATGTGAATTAAGTATCATAGGAACCCCTGAGAAAGGGGTTTGCCAACTGAGAGGCTTATGAGGGACGGGCAGAGTGAGGGGAGAGTCAAGAGAAACTTCATGGAAAGGAAGTTGCTTGAGTTTAACCTTGAAAAACAGGTGCATTTCTCCTGACTATGGAGGGGAGGTGCTCATTACCAGACTGAGAAAGAAACGTGAGTGAAACCAGTGTGGGAGAATACTGATGTGTCTGTAAGGGCTGGTATTATGCAGGATGAGAATGGGAAGGCTTGCTGAGAAGCCGGATGGAACCAGTTTGGATGAGCTATTAGGATGGACCGCAAGGGATCCTGGAGGTTTTTGAGCAGATGAGCGTCATGATCAGAGCTATGATCTAGTGAAATAATTCTGATGTTGTAGTCAGAATAGTATTAGCAGTAGGATTAGTTACTGTTTACTCTAAAACTACTCTATGCCAGGTGTTTTCCTTACCTCACTTACTAAAACTCTGTGTAGGAAGTTAGTATCCCTTTAAGTGGGGAGACTGAGGCACGGAAGGGTCACCAAGCAGTGAAATGTGGGCTCAGGACGGAACCAGCTCTGACCACTCAGAGTCAGATGTCAGCCTTCTCAGTGAGGGGCTCTCGCACAGCGCCGGAGGGAGGACCCTGTAGACGGCAGAGGGGGATGGAGACGGTGGCCACGCTGTCTGTGTGTCCTTCCAGGTGGGACCTGACATTTGCGGCTATTACCTGGATGCCCCGGAGGAGCTCTGCAGGAGGTGGATGCAGCTGGGAGCCTTTTACCCACTTTCCAGGAATCACAACGGCCAAGGCTACAGGGTAAGGCACCCAAGAGATAAAATAAATGCAAACTTGGCATTCACCAGGACCGGGTCCGTCTAAATCCTTGACAAGAAATCTGCTGGGCCAATCCCTTCCCTGGTGCTTTGCATTGCGTTTGCAATAAACTGGGACTGACGCTGCTTGGCGAAGACGCCCCACAGCCTTGGGCTGTTCCCCTGAAGTCAGGAGTGAGTCTGCGAACCTTTCTACCAATCCTCTACGCTTTTTATATGCACTGCCCGTTTGGTAATGAGAAGCAAATGAAGAAAAACCTCAAAGTTCTTAAAACGCAGTCTGCCAAGGGAGGAATCCTGGCGAGTGAATGGGGCAGGCGAGCTGCAGGTGAGGCACGGGCATTCAGTGATGAGAAGGTCCCTCTCTGCCAGCTTTGCGACCAAGGTCCCGGCTCGTGCTGGAGAGAAATCCTTGTTGTGGAATTCTGCAGGTGCCTCTGCTGGCCTGACGCCAGCCCACAGCTGCAAACTCTTTGTCTCCCCAGGACCAGGATCCTGCCTCCTTCGGTGCTGACTCTCTGCTGTTGAATTCCTCCCGGCACTACCTTAACATCCGCTACACTCTGTTGCCCTACCTGTACACCCTCTTCTACCGAGCTCACAGTCGAGGTGACACGGTGGCCAGGCCCCTTCTGCACGAGTAAGCTTACCTGTCCCACCGGAGTCTGCTAATGCAGTCGCATCATCAAATATCAGAGTGAAATCAAGCATGCAAGCAATTATTCATATGTTATATTTTGAGGCTAGTGGTGCTTCCATATTATTCGAGGCGGGTATTAGGGATATATACTTACATGTAGATATAAGTGTGATTTTCTGTCCCCTTTGGGGAGAGAATGCGATTGAAAGTCACGGGACTCATGGCTTTTTCTACCACTAACTAACTCCATTTCTTAGACAAATCATTTAAATTCCTCCCCCTTTAATTTCTCCAGTCTTTTAAGGAGTTGGTAGCTTGACTGGGGTGTTCTCTCCTGTAATGCACTGTGATGCCAGGACTGTGTTCCAGCTCAAGGAACAAGCTTGCCATTTGCACCCAATAAGAATATTATAAAGGAATTCTACGGTTCTAGAGTTCTAATTTTTCAGTCAAGGGGCATCTCTTATTTATTTATTTATTTAGAGTTATTTATTTACATATTTGGAAGAGTTACAGAGGCAGAGGCAGAGAGAGGGAGAGGTCTTCCATCTGCGGTTCACTCCCCAGATGGCCGCAATGGCTGGAGCTGCAGCCAATTCGAAGACAGAAGCCTTTTCCAGGTGTCCCACATGGGTGCGGGGGCCCAAGCACTTGGGCCATCTGCCCTGCTTTCCCAGGCCATAGCAGAGAGCTGGATCAGAAGTGGAGCAGCCGGGACTTGAACCGGCACCCATACAGGATGCCGGCACTGCAGGTGGCGGCTTCACCCGCTAAGCCACAGTGCCAGCCCTGCATCCCTAATTTAACTTGTAAACAGGGTGTGTAGGAGCCTCTCCTTGTCAAATGCAGTTAACGCCCATGTGTGTGCACATGAGACCTTCAGGCTCATAAAAGGGGTCTTCAAAAAGTCACGGAAAATGAAATGCACATTACATATTTCAAACTGTTGGCCCCCAAGTAAACCTTTTAATCCAATTTGCCATTGATATTTTGAAGTGCCCTCAGATCTGCCTTATTAGGTATTCATTCTTTGGGAGAATTTTTGCCATCTTTTGGAATTTCCCTTTAAAACACAGATATCCTAAAAGACAATGAGTAAAATTTTGCAGATATATATAATTATATATATCTCAAACCAGTTCTATATATAAAATATGTATGTATATGTATAAATAGATGTATATATGTATATGTATGTATGTAGGAACTAATATATAGTTGATAGTTAAAGTTGGTAGAGTTCTAAAATTTATTATTTTACATTTTTTAAATAAAAGGAAATAGGGCAGACTGAGTTACAGCCTAGAACCCACCTACCATCAACACTGGAATAGGAGCTTCTCCAGGGGGGGGGACAGGAGGGATGCTGGGCTGGGGAAGTGGACTTGTCTGGGGGGCTGGCGGGGGGGTGTGCAGAGAGGGGCACAGAGTAATTGGGGAGCAGGATGAATCGTGACAGGTTGTGGGGAGGCTTCCAGGAGCCTGACCCATGTCTCCGTGAACCTTCTCTCTGGTCTCCAGGTTCTACGGGGACAACAACACTTGGGATGTGTACCAACAGTTTTTGTGGGGGCCAGGCCTCCTCATCACTCCAGTTCTGGAAGAGGCAAGTGTTTCCACGGAGACACGCCGGTGATCTTGCGTCTGTTCCTCGCGGCCCCGACTCCTCTGCTCCTTATCCCAGACTAGTTTCCAACATCTGTAGCTGAAGCAGCCTGAAAAGCGTGTGCTGGGGTCTTGGGAAGATGATTATCTGATATCTACACATATTCCTCTCTAGAAGCTTTTTGCTTTTGACGGAGCTCCCAACTGGGTAAAACACATACTGGCGACTCTATATTTAGACATGATCCCGTGTGTGGCCGGGTTCTCAGAGCAGTTCATGACTGCTTCCTGACGCAGATGAAGACTGGAGTAGTGACTCAGCACTAGCAGTCAGCCTGACACAGCAAGATGTGTGGTGAATAAGTTCCCCTAGAGGGGCCAGGCATTAGCCTAGCCTTTAAGATGCTGGGTGAGGCACCGTGTCCGTCATCTGAGTATGTGGGTTTGATTCTTGCCTCTGGATCCTGACTCCAGCTCCTTGCTAACCCAGACACGGGGGGAAGCGGTGATGTCAAGTAGTTGTGTTCCCCTGCCCTCAGCCCAGGCCCCGCCCTGCCTATTTAGGGCATTTG